GCACAGGCCATGGAGGAACACTGCTTACTGGCTTGCTCCCCTGGCCCCTGCTCAGCCTGCTTTCTTATACAACACAGGCCCACCTGCCGAGGGGTGGCACCACCCACAGTGGGATGGCACCACCCACATCACTCAACAATCAAAAAGGTGCCCCACAGACATGGCCACAGGCCAGTCCAATAAAAGCAATTCCCCAATTGAGGCTCCTTCAACCCAGGTGTGTCAAGTTGACACTAAAGCTATCCAGCAGAGTAAAGAAACACAACAGTTCCATTTTTGTCTGGGCAACCTATGCTGTGTTTACCCACATGTGCTGATAATGCTGCCTTATAACCCCAACAAGCACATATCTGCCAGTAAAGATAAATGCTATGTGGGGGTTGGAGAGATGGCTCAGCAGTGAAGAGCACTGGCTGCTGTTGCAAAGGACTCAGGTTCGATTCCCAGCACTCACATGGGGTGGCTAACAACTATCTGTAACTCCAGACACCCTCTGATACCCTCTTCTGACCTGAGGGTAACTGGATGACACAGGTGCACTTATATACATGCAGACAATACGCTCATACACATAAAATAAAAAATAATAAGATATATATTTTTTAAAAAGATAAATGCTGTATAAAGCATTATAACAAAACACTGCAGCTCTTAATTCAGAGTTTAAACCAGTTAGACTAATTACCTTCTCTTGAATGTCAAGTGAGTGGCATATCACTTACCCTCCTCAAAGCTGGTGATCTTCTGTCTCACTAGAGCACGGAAGTTCTCAACAGGATTCACACTTCCAACCTAGAACAGACCCACAGATAATAAGCCTATAGGTTACTTTTCTTTTTGGAAACACTCATGTCTTAGTTTTATTCCAATTGTGATAAAACATTCTGACAAAAACAATTTGTGGGAGAAAGGGTTTATTTTACTCACAGTTCCAGTCCATCATAGCTGGGACGTCACAGCAGTAGGAACTTGATCATATCACATCCAGAATCAGGAAAAGAGAGCAATGAATGTGTGCATGCTAGTATTCAGCTGGCTTTCTCAACCTTTTCAGAATCCCCTTCCTAGGGCATGGTCTACCCACCATGGGCAGGTCTTCCTACATCAATTAATGTAATCAAGACAATTCCCCACAGACATGCCCAGACATGCCCAGACACACCCTGATCTAGACAGTTCCTCACTGAGACTCCTCCCAGGTGATTCTAGATTATGTCAAGTTGACAGTTAAAACTAACCACCACACCCCAAGCAATACAAGATGGCTTCATGTAGTGTGTCCTTAAAGACAAAGAGGACTCTCTATCATTTTGATTTCCAGGGCTCTATTAAAAGTTAGAAGATTCATTGGGGCTGGAGAGATGGCTCAGCAGTTAAGAGCACTGGCTGTTCTTGCAGAAGACCCATGTTTGAATCTCACATGACAGCTAACAACCATCTGTAACTCCAGCTCCAGGGATCTGACGCCCTCTTCTGTCCTCCATGAGCACTGCACAACATGGGTACACTTACACACATGCAGGTATAACACTCATACACATAAAATAATTTTTTTTTTTAATTTTAACTTAGAAGATCCAGGAGTGGGCAGGATTGCTTAGTGGGTAAAGACATTCTCCTCTGAGCCCTGAGTTCAATCCTGAGTCCAATCCCCAGAATGACATGGTGGAGGAAAGAACCAGCTCATGTTAGTTAGCCTATGATTTCCTTATGTACACTATGGCACACACATGTGCATCAACCACATATACAATAAGTCAATAAAATATGAAAAAAAAAAAAAAAGCTAAACAATCCAAGCAGTTACATGGTTACTACGTTCACTTGGCTTGCTTTCTGCAAGCTGACTCCTCCAGAGAGGTTAGAAGTATTACGATCCAGGCCACTAGCCATCCTAGCCTAGAGGTTTTATGGGGCATAGACCTCCTGTAACACATACTGATACCCAATTAGGAAAGGGAGGATATTGTAGTATAAAGTCTCACTAAATAACTTTCCCTACTACAATGACACGAGAAAAAATAGCTTAATGTTTAAGTCACTTAAACTGCCTTTTTAGGAGGCCTTCTTCTGGTTATTTGGCACTGAAGTTTTGGTAGAACACACAAATATACCCATATTTAACGTATCTTTAAAAAAGTAAAAGCAAGACAGGCGTGGTGGTGCACACCTTTAATCCCAACACTTGGGAGACAGAGGCAGGTGAGATCAAGGCCAGCCTGCTGGAGCTACATGAAGACCTTGTCTCAAAACAAACAAAATAAAAGCAGATCATACGTATTTACTGCAGTGTCAGGTGTAAAATTTCATGCATGCAACTCTCCACCACACCGTGCAATACTTTTGGATCATGCTGCTATCTTTGATCTGCTGGTCCCAACCCTAAAGATCTATTAGCACTCAGCTCTGAGGAGAGTAAAGCAAGAGGCTGGTAAACTAAGAATAAAATGTACTTTTTCTACTTTGCTTTGGAATAGTGAGCAAAACAGGTCTCCCAACATAAGATCATGCCTTTTTCTCTATACTAGGAAAGATCTCAATGAAGTTCAAATCACTTTTCAGAAACCTGATTTTTCTGAAAGCATTTCTATTTGAGATGGGCACGAGGGCAGGTCTAACACTATCTTTCCTAGTATAATGTGCTAAATCTGTTGATTCAAAATAATGCCGCTTAAAAGAGGGTAATATGTTTAAATTCTAAAAATCTTCTCATTAAATGAAGCTCTCAGTATCAAAAGGTATTTGATTTGGGAAATCCTAAACTTGCCAATACTGTTCTGAAGTTTTATATTAGGAAAAAAAGTGGAAAAGGTATACTAACTTAAATTTTATGCATTTGGGGAGTAAGAGCCATATCATTAACCCCATTTAATCCTGTCATCTTGAGTAAATGGAAAGTTGCAAAATGACCAACAAGAAAATCTATAAAACAAAAAGTGTTCCACATTCTACATGTTAGAGCTCTGTTTACGACAAATCATACAGATAATTCTACAGATAATTCATCGATAATTATTTCCAGAAAGAAAGGAAGAAGCTTGGTTTGAGCCTTTATGTTCACATAGAGAGGAACAGAGAAAGTGCTCAGTTAGCAGTCTCATCAAACTTGATACGGTCTGCTCCAAGTCCTAACTTTCCCATAGGGGGAAAGTGCACTGGAAAAGCTCCACTTACCTTGGTGACATTCCCTTCAGCCAGGCTGGAGACACTAAAGTGACCTTCTTCTCCCCCAGTCTTGCATTTTTTAGCAATGGATGCCCCTTCATCACTAGAAAAGAAACAGGTATTTTTCCACTTACAAAAGAACAAAGCAAAACAAAAATACAAAACCTAGGCTATTTTCTGTGAGAATACAAAGTTATTCTCCAAGTATCCAAAACAAAGAGCCACAGTACTCAGGCCTTCTATAGAAAGAGCTGGCCTCCCTCTTTCAGCCTTGGTGCCCTGGCAGCCTGTGGAACAGCTCTGGCTTTGTTTCACATCAGTACAGAAATCATTAACAGCAGGATCAGGAAGTACATGCAAAGGATGAAATGGCAAGCACAGGTAACAAGAGTTTGACATTTAACTAAGAAATCTATCTCTCCTTCAGACAGTATTTCCTAATCCCTATCTCAGAACTGATAGCCATGAGCTTATCATGTTCAGAAAAGAACCTTGTGTGTGATTACCTACCTTCTTTGTATTAGTATCTTTAAGACCCCTATAAACTTCTAGTTGAAGCTGTCAAAACTGGGACTGGAGGGATGGCTTAGTGGTTTAAGAGCACTGTTTTTGCAGAGGACCCAGGTTTGGTTCTCAGAACTCACATGGTAACTAACAACCATCCATAACTCCAGTTCCAAGGAATCTGATGCCTTCTTCTGACCACTTATGGGCATTGTGCAACACAGATACACTTACATACATGCAGGCAAAACACATGAATAAAAGTACAAACAAACAAAAGACCCTGTCAAGTCAGGTGTGGTGGCTCATGCTTTTAATGCCAGCACAAGGGAGGCAGAGGTAGGAGGATCTTTGTGAGTTCAAGGCCAGGCTGGTCTACATAATGAGTTCCAGACCAGCTGGGGCTACAGGGAAGACCCTGTCACAAAAAAAAAAAAAAAAAAAACTGTCAAAACTTACCAATCATTAATTAAATATGCAAGAACTTTAAAAAATATATCTTAAACTACTTTTTAAAAAATCAAATACCTTTTGGGCTAGAAAAATGGCTCAGCAGTTAAGAGTACATGCTGCTCTTGAAGAGGACCTGGGTTCAGTTCCCAACACACACATGGTGGCTCACAACCATCCAGTTCCAGGGGATCTGATACCTTCCGGCCTCTATGGGCACCAGGCACAATGAGGTACACATACACACATTTGAGCAAACACTCATGTATTAGTCACTTTTCTGTTGCTGTGATAGAAACACTGACCACAGCAATTTATAGAATGAAGAGTTTATTTGAGCTTATTGAGCTTATGCTTCCAGAGGGATTAAAGTCCACCATGATGGGGAGGCATGGCTGGCAGAGGTGGACAGAGCACATCCTCAAGCAGGCACAGGAAACAGAGAGTAACTGGAAATCTGGCAAGGCTTAAGAACTCTCTAAGTCCATCCCCAGTGACATGCTTCCTCCAGGATAGCCACACCTTCTAAAACCTCCCAAAACAGTGCCTTCATCTGGGGACAAAATGCCCAAATACTTGGAGCCTATGGGGGACATTTTCATTCAAACCATCATAACTCATATACATAAAATAAGAAGTAAATTTAAAAAAGAAACACCAGGACTGGAGCGATGGCTCAGTAGTTAAAAGTACTGGCTGTTCTTGCGGAAGACCCAGGTTCAATTCCTACCACTCACATGGCAACTAACAACGGTCCCTAACTCCAGTTCCAAGGGAATCTCACCCCCTCTTCTGACCTCCACAGACATTGCACAACATGGATGCACTTACATACATACAGGCAGTACACTCATACACATAAAATACAAATAATAAATAAAATATTTTTTTAAAAAAGAAACATCTTGCTAGGCATGGTGACGCATGCCTTTAATCCCAGCACTTGGGAGGCAGAGGCAGGCAGATCTTTGTGAGTTTTAGGCCAGCCTGGTTTACATAGTGAGTTCCAGGACAGCTGGAGCTACAGGGAGACCCTGACTCAAAAAGACACAAAAAAAAAAAAAAAAAAAAAAAAAAAAAAAAGAAACATCTTTTAATTTAATTTGCTTTTCTATAAAACCAATTCTGTTTTGGGCACTATGCTAACAAAGTCCAACAGCACCCATGTGCTAAAGGAAAAATGACTCCAAGAAAGACCATCAAAGCATCTTGCCTCAAGCACTGGCTATACCAACCTGTCTTAAAGTCAAAAGGAAGTCAATTGCAAAAAAAAGAAGAAAATTCAGTCCAAAGGCTCTGTTCATCATCTCCCTCACAATGCAGAACATAAATATATGAAGAATTTTCTTCCAGAGAAACAATCAGTATAGGACAAAGGAGCCATCAAGAGACAACTGAATGATAAGAATGGAGAGATGGCTCAGAAGTTAAGAGCACTGGCTGCTCTTACAAAGGACCCAGGTTCAGTTCTTAGCACCCAGATGGCAGCTCACAACCATCTGTAAATCCAGTTCTAAGGGACCTGACGCCCTCTTCTGGCCTCCACGAGCAATGTACAACACAGACACACCTACATAAATGCAGACAAAATACTTAGACACATAACAATAAAACTAATTTTTTTTAAAAAAAGAAATTACTGAAGGAAATTAGTAACTAAGAAGTTTGTAACTACAATCTAGTTAGGATTGGGGAGATGGCTCAGTCAGTAAAGTGTTTGCCTAAAGACCTAAGTTAAATCCCCAGAGTCGATGTAAAAAAAGCCAAGTACAGTAGTATGCTGTAGTCAGGAGGCAGAGACATGTGGATCCCTGGCACCAGCTAGCAGCCTGCCTAGCCTACTTGGTGAATTCTAGATGAGGGAGAAATCCTGTGTCAAGGAAAAAAAGTGAACAGTGCCTGAAGAATGACATCCTAGGTTGTGCTATGGCATTTATACACACACACGCCTGTTCACCCACACAGGTATGTAAATACACACACAAACCAAACATGCATGCACATGTACACACATATACACACATAAAAGAACCCATTTTAATTGAAAAATTAAGACTAAACTTGTCATATATGATAAGATACTTTAAAAGTAAAAGCATCACTAAATGGACTCTGTGCACTACACATATATATGTATGCATACGCAACAATAATAAGAAATTGAGAGGGAGTAGGAGACATTGGAGGAGTTGGAGGGGGACTGGGAGGGGTGGAAATAATGCAAAGACAATACTCATGTATGAAATTTTCAAAAATTAAAAATTAAAAAAAATTTTTAAGTTAACACTGGAATGGTTAACTGGAATTAATTAACATATGTATTACCACGGTCACATATACATGAATTCAACATTTTATTACCTGAAACTTTCTATTGACTGGCATTTTCTCTTTGAGAAGTAGAGAAGTGAGAAGATAGAAGGACAGGGACCAGGAAACATAAGTGTAAAAATCATCCAGAGTGCTTCCTTTGTAAGTAGAGAACAAAAACACACAAAGCCTTGATGGTAGAGATGGAAGAAAAATGCACAAAATGAAGCCTAGCAATCCAACAGTCTGTGAAAACAAAAAAGTCACAGCCACGCACATCAGAAAGTGCCAGTTCCTCACAGCAGACGCTACCAACACTCCTGAAGATCTGGGGGCAAAGGCCTGGATTCTAGTCTCAGAGTTCGTGGGTCTGTTTGGAGTTTTATTCTTTATTATTGTGTGTCTCCGTGTGTTTCTGTATGTGTGAGTGCAGGTACACACATGCCACAGCATGCATATGGAGTTAGAGGGCAGCTTGAAGAAGTCTATTTTCTCTCTCTCTGCCATGGGTTCTGTGGATCCACCTCAGGTCATCAGGCTTGCACAGCAAGTGCTTTAATCTGCTGAGCCAAGCTCACCAGCCCCTGTTCCAGTTTTGTCACCAACTTGCCCTGAAATCTTACATCTTCATGAACATGTTCACTGGGATTTAATTTTTGGACATCTCGAGTTTAGAGTTTACTAAGTTACCATCATGGCCAAATTGGGAAGGGCAATGACGTCATGTCCAAAGACACTAAGCAGTAGAAGGTAGAAATTATACATGAAGGCACAGTAGACACGCAAACATTCATAGTGCTGCATCTGGATGATGGGACCACAAGTAGTTTGTTCTTTTTTTCATTTTCTTTCAGAAATATGTACAAACCTTGTAATTAGTTAGCCCAACACATACTGAATATTTATGATGTGTCAGCCACTAAGCTAAATTCTAAACCCTAGGTATACAAACATGAATACACAATCAGCACTTAGAAGTTCAAATAAACAAGATAAATACGTCGACAGACAAACTATTGTGATAAGCAGCAGATCGCAACTGGCAAATAGTTGTACTGGGCTGCAGTGCAAGAGTTCAGGATGGAAAGTACTAAAAGATGGAAGTCCTGAAAAATACATCGATGTACGGATGGGCTGAGGGTGCAATTCATTGATTGAACACGTGTTTGGCATGCGTGAACTCCTGGGATTCAAGCCCCAACAGCAAAGGGAAGGTGAGAAGAGAAGACAGTTTCCCTGAGGCAGCTGATTACACATGGATATGCCTTTCTGCTGATCAGGGCTTCTCATGTGTGTATCAGGCTGATGACCTTATGTAGTAAGTAATGAGCGGTCACTGAGCGCAATAGTTTTTAATACGCAGGCCAAGGATGGCATTAAGGAGTCAAGGAATCAGAACTCAGACCGGATTCAAGGTGCGGTGTGTAAAGGTATTTTTCTGGGAAGAGGGGTTCATAGTTTTTATGCCGATCGAGTTGAGAAACAGACAGACAAAGAGACACAGAGATTAAAGAATTTTAAGAAGCAGTGATGTAATCCGATTCTTTAAATTTAAAAAAGAAGGGTATTCTGAGCCTGGTGTAATGATGCACACTTTTAATCCTAGCACTTGGGAGGTGGAGGCAGGTAGATCTCTGAGAGTTCAAAGCCAGCTTGGTCTACATAGAGAATTCCAGGCCAGCAGGGGTTACACAGTGAGACCCTGTCTCAAAATAATAACAATCAATCAATCAATAAATAAACAATAAATAACTCTGGTTAGCTAGCAGCCCCTAGGTAGCTCCAGAAAAGGGGATTCTAGAGATCACTAACAAGACTAAGGCAGGATTGGAGTTGAGA